ATGGCTGCGGACCACATGTCAGAGGCGGAAAAATGGCCGTGGACCACATGTCAGAGGCGGAAAAATGGCCGTGGACTGTGTCACGGGCGGGACTATGGCCGCGCATCCTGTTCGTACCCTGAGGCGGAGTTCGCAAACCGAAGCAAAATTTTGCGGCTGGAGCTGGTTGTAACCCGAAAAGTCCGTTAACAGAAGCGTTCGTAACCCGAGGTTCCACTGTACTATTGTTTTATGATTTGGGGATGGAGGGAGATTGTACATTATTTTGAAATATATATTTATCTTGAAATGTGCCTAAATAAATAAATAGATGGCAAAGGCAAGAAGCATTTTGAACAAATGCAAAGAACAGCATTTATATGTCCCAAACTAATTTAGAAGTAAAGAAATTGAATTCTTTCTTCACTGACTGCCAATTAGAAGTCTTACCCAGATTGGCAAAGTATATTTACTTCTACTGAAATAGCATTTGCTTTCATCTTAGAAATATAACACCCAATCTTATGACTGTAATGGTGACTAGAAGTACAGAGCAGAAAACAAAGGGAGTTCTATTTAGGCTTTTGATATTGTGAAAGCTAAATCACTACTTTCATCATGCTAATCTAAACAAAATTAAGAGTATTTAAATTCTGTTCAGATAAATGGGATGAATCCTTGAACAGTGCATTTATCTTATTGGCCTGGTTTTCATTTAATGCTAAGCCATAACAGTTTGTTTTTGGTTTAGTGTAAAACACAAACCTATCCTAAGGGGTTTTTTAAAAATAAAATAACAAACTACAGTTCAAATCCATTTATATTTAAAACTTCAGCTTGTTTTAACCATTAACCCAGACTCGTAGCTTGTTCCTGAATTGTCTTTTGTGGGTCACTCAAAATATGGGTAATAGAAACAGAAATGAAGTGAAACTAACTAGGAATAACCATAAAAGTTGTAATTATGGCAAATCCTGACTTGGTGCTATCTACAACTACAACTACTGACATCAATATGCAATGTGCAATAAGCTGTTTCTCTGATGCTCCTAGCCCTTCTCACCCACATGTAAAATATTTATATCATCTTGTTCTGTTCATTCAAACACTCATAACACAGTTCTTGCTAGACACCTACATTTTAAAGTTTCAATTTCATTACTGTAATAAACTGGCAAACTATTACAGGTAGTCCTTGACTTATGATGGCAATTGGGACTGGAATATTAGTCACTAAGCAATGTGGTTGTAAAGTGCGATGCATTGCTTAGCAACAGCAATCCCTGCAGTCCTGGTTGCTGTCATTAACTGAATCCCAGGGTTGTTAGGTGAGGCAACTTCCCGCCAGCTTCCCACAAAGTCAGTGGGGAAGCCAGCAGGAAGTTGCAAGTGCCAGGCTGGCTGGCAGGCAAGTAAGTGGCTGTTGCTGGGTACATGAGGGTGTGAGGGGTGTGTGAGAGGCGCGGCATGGGTCGGGCAGGGTGCACGAAGGTGCATGAGGATGTGATGGTCAGGGAGGATGTGCAAGAGTGCGGCATGTGTTGGGGAGGGTGTGTGAGAGTGCAGCGTGGGGGTGTGAAGGAGGCACGAGGAGGATCAGGGAGGGTACGTGGGGCTGCTGCATAGGTTGGGGAAGGTGTGCAAGAGGTGTGGTACAGGTCAGGGAGGGTGCATGAGGCTGCGAGGGAGACTTGGCATCAGGGAGGGTGCATGGCATGAGTGCAAAGGGGATGGGGGAGGGTTTGCAGGTAAGGGAGACCTACCCCACTTGTAACCTTCCTTGCCTGCTTCTCCACTGACAATCTGGGGAAGCCAGGAGGGAAGGATGCAAATGGCAATCACGTAATCGCGGGTCGCTGTAACCAGTCATAAATGTGAACGGGTTGCCAAGCACCTAGATAACAATCACATGACCGTGGAGATGCTGGGACAGCCAGAAATCCAAGGACTGGTTGTAACCACCATTAGTTCAGGGTTGCCATAAGTTCAAATGGTTGCTGAATGAATGATCATAGGTTGAGGACTACCTGCATACCAATCTACTGAATTTTCTAATGGGAAAATTTAGAAGTTCTATTTAGAACAGAATGTCCCAAATAACAGAATACCAAGGAAGTTTTTCTCAGTCAAATGCTATGCTTATATGCATATCAAGATAGTGAGATTTGCCACTTACCATAACTACATAAGTGTTTGCTTAGCAGGTGCCTGTATTCTTTTTATCCTGCTTTTGGGTTCTACTAAGAACTAAAAAGTATTGGCTTTGAATGTATCCTCACCAATTCCCGAAACAATAGAGCAAATCTTTCTGTGTTCTAACACTGTATTTTTAAAGGAAGCCTACTTACTTTAGGACTGCACCTCGGAGTGCCTCTCTCTCTTTGGCTTCACCTGGTTCTTCCCCAGTGCATGGAATTATATCTGCTTCAGTGTACCTAAGAATGAAATGTTAAGGAGAACGCAGCCTGATATAAATTTTAACATTTGTGGAGTTCTCTTCAGTATTTATCTTAGGTCATCATGGAGACCAGACAAGTACCTCCTCAGCATGAGATGTACAATTACAATTCATGCATTTATTAGGTTTTTGATAGATTTAATATCCCACCCTTCCTCCAAGGTGGCGTACATAGTATACCCTCTTCTCATTTTTCTCCACAATGGCAATCTTGTGAGAGAGAGGAAGGGAGAGAGGGAAGGAAAGAGAAAGCTTGAAGTCCCCCAGTGAGTTGTCATGGCTGAGGGTGGACTTGATCCTGGGTAGTCTTCATATTCTTTGTCTAACAACCAACTATACTATATTTGCACCAAAAAGTACTTCTGAGGCAACGTATTTGGGAGTAGTGTCTTCTTTCAAAAGGAACAGTGTGTGAATGCTGCTGGTGCTACCAGGGATTTACTGGAAAATAAGATTCATTAATTAAGTACGTACAAAAACTTTGTTTTTGAACTCTTCTCTAACAGAGCTAAAATCTTGGCATCTCTAAAATCTGAGGTACTGGCAAAGACAAAGCCACCTGCTAGGAGTTTAGCATCTCTAGAAAATGATACTGTGGTTTTCCATATTCCAGTGTGTCATCACCATCCACATCAAGGTCAGCATCGCTGTCTGGATTCTCCTTGCCACTGCACATGACAAACCCAGATCCTAGAGAAAAAGAAAATGTGTGGAGTACATCATCATAGGTTATAATTAACAGAGAAATACAAAGTAATAGTCTGGGAAGGAAGGAAGCACAACGTTTAGCATGGGTGAAGGCTAACATGGCTACAAACAACAATTTAATTTACACAGGTTTGTAGTAAGCACTTTCTTCCAGGCTTACTGTAGTTATGGATGGATCCAGAATATTTCTTTGGCTTTGCTGTGTGTAATATAATGGCAAAAAGCCTTCAGAAGTTTTTAAAAAGCAGAGATTACTCTATATTTTGACTTACAAAAAAGAATTTAGAGAATTTCCATTGTTTTCCTGATCTTCAGATTAGCTGTTTTGGGGGGGGGGGCAGAGAGCTGTGAGGGATGACATCTGTCAGAAATAAACTGAACTAGGAACTGCAGTGCACAGCAGCAGAAAAAGTGTATTCAAGCCAAAAGCAAGTAGGCCTATGATTTATGAGAACTATTGTGGCAAGCAGGAGAAAGTAAATGTATAGAACTTCCCATTAAAATGTAGGGAATGAAAAACATTGTTTTATGCAGAAGAAATCCCTATACTCCAATGTTGATATCAGAAAGTAAACAGCAGTTTCAATACACGTCTGATGGACCACACACTGAACTGCCATGTAAAACTGAACACTGACTTTTCTTTATAAATCTGAATTGCTTGTCACCTGCCCCACCTTATCACTAGATTAGATCATATCAGATTTTAATAAATCAAGAGCACAGGGAAGCAGGATGCAGTACACAGGATACAGTACACATGAATAAAAGTAGTAAGTTTAATGTCAAAGTAAATGTTAAATGACAATATTATGGGGAATTCCCAATCACAAATTTAGGAGCAAAAAAATTTATCCAGCAAAATTTGTTCTGCCTTCTAGATGTGGTGGGTAAAAGGTACCCCTCCACACACGTGAGCTGCATTCGGTACCAAACCTGTGAGATGCCTCCATATCTGGGAATTGCCCTTGTAATAAAACATTCACAACAAGGTGAATTGACCCTGAGTGGTGACAGGGAGAAGAACCAGTCAGGAACCATTGGCCCAGTAAACCAAATTGTTTATACTCACTGACCGTATCTCACAAGATAGTATAGCTGACATGCCCACCTAGTACAGCTTGGGAATTATTTTACACTTGCCAGTTTTGTATCCAAATTTTATTTCTATCTTTTACACCTAAAAATTGTACAAAAGTACTTTCAAAAAGTAAAATACAGTAATACCTCGGTTCACGAACGCTTCTGTTCACGTAATAAGTCGGTTCACTAACAGCACCGTTACGCAAAATTTTGCTTCCGTTCGCGAACTCCGCATCGGGTGATGAACAGGATCCGCGGCCATTTTCCCTAATGTGACACGTGGTCATGGCTTCCTGTAGAGAGGGGGACT